ATGGTTAGAAAATAGAAATGGTCATCGCTAGCTGAAACAGATCATGCCGTCGGGCATTTCACGTGCATCGTCCTTGAGCAGCGGACCCGAGAGAGCTATGAAACGGATCATACCGTCCGGCAGTTCAAGTGTTGACGCTTTAAATAACGGATCAATATGAAACAGACCATTCCGTCCGGCATTTTCAAGTGTTTAAACCTTGAACAGCGGTCCCGAGAGAACCATGAAAGGCCGTGAACCTGCAACGCTACTCCTCAAAGGCTTGTAAATGCCGTCGTTATTGCGTTGGGAGTAGACCTGGTCCGAAAAATATGGGAAGTTTGGATTTTCTCGAGATACCGTAGAGATACCTTCGCGATCCCCGAAATACACACAAGAAGGTGAGGTCCAAAGACGAAGCTTTAGGTAGCTAGTGGAGTTTAAGGTTGGGTTTGGGCCGAGGATTTCGTTTAATGTCCCAATCACTCAGCGGTTGGAACAAACCCAAAACGACTTTCAAACACCACAACTTGGCACAAGAAGCAGCTTCTTAAGGGCCGGGTTCGAAAGTGTCTTAGCACCATGACCGTCGCCTAACTCAACGAATCATGGGAAACACCAAATACTCGCATGGATTTAAGAAGAGTTGATGCGACCCTCCCGGAACCTTCCCCTCAGACTCTGCAAGTACCTGCACGAAATCGATGCGAGTCAGGATGCTGACAGTAGTAGCAGTCGTCGTCGTACTGCCATACAAACCCAGAGCGCCTGCTGTTTCACGATAACTAGGGGTACATAAGTAAAAAGATAGCACGTTATAACATAACATGTGAAAAGCAAGTGTGCACACGCAAAGGCAACGACCCCCCAAAATGCTTCCCCCCAGTGTCTGCTGCCCGCAGAAGGCGGACGCAACGACTTCCACACTTAGGTCTCATCTTCATACAGATCCTGTCGGTCCTGCAGTAGAAAATGAGTCTCCCTTCCACTTGTGGTGCCAGAAGATGCAATGCAGTCAGTGCGACGTTGCCAGCGGTTTCCCGGCCGGCGACGTCGAGGACCAAGTAATTAGTAATCCACAACGTTCTTAAACGTATAAGTGGAGGCCACCGTCGAGAGGACGGAGTTTTCGAAGCGATGCTACTACTCCTGCCGAACATGTGGCGGCCCTGGTGGACCAATTTAACACCCATGCTCTTGGACATGACCTCGACCTGCAGCACATCGAGCTGCAAAGTCAGTATCACTATACACTCCTTGTCTAAATACGCGCTCGTATCGATCTGTGCTAGCACCGTATAGCTATTCAATCGCAACGATCAATGTGGGAAATTATGTATGTATGTATGTATGTATGTATATATATATATATACATACACACGTACTTTTTATACATGTATTTATCTGTTCATCTATTTGACTATCTCGAACTGGCCTACATCAGCATTCAGTATAGTCCAAGAATATCAGAATCCAAAAATACACATTTATACAGCTAAGCCGAATAAATGTCATCGCGCCAACCTTCAATCTTCCAGAGATCGCACAGCACCGACAGTGGTTTTTTGAGTCGAAAGGCATCTGAAAACTGTGTCCAGAAAAATCACGAGTAGATATGTGCATAAATCCATGCCTCCCGAGAAGTGTTGGTGACTTTGCCTGCTCTGTGAGTAGGACCTGGTCTCCCGGGGGGACACAGCCAAGCTTTGCTTGCAAATATCGCTTTGCAGCGTACTAAGACAGTCCTCAGTCAGTACTCGCAGATCTCTGAAATGCTTCTGACACCCTCTGAGGCCTGCACTGGCATGCTCCATATTAGAGCAATGTTGCTACACAGACCACTTCCCGCAAAGAGAGAGTCTGTGCAGATTATGTGCGAAGATGAAGTCGTCTTCAAGCTCTTTGTGTGGCTACAGACGGGAGAAACACCTTTGCAGAAATAATAGATTAAAACTCGCTTGGCAGGATGCATGCAGAAGCAAACGGAAGCTCGACATCATCCTCCGCCTGCATAGCTATGGGACCCCGAAGCCTATCACTTCGGATGGACTGAAGATCCATGTATCGATTTGGACAGCAACGTTCCCTCCAGTCGTAATGGGTGACTTCACTCCTTCCCCTACACACCCCTACACAGATCTTCAAAGCCAGTGCGAAAATTTGGCGCAAGGGCCACATACGTCCCATCAGCATCTGCCTAAATCCCCAGGCAAACGTTCATGACATGCTGGGCCGGAATCCAAACTCGGACAAACATTCAGAACAGCAGCACGTCGCAGCTCGTACCGAAATAAGCCATGACACAAACGCACGGTTGATCTTCAAAGACCAGACAAACGCGCTCACAACTTATCACGGCAAGGCATGGGGAAACCAACACTTAGCAGACTACCCTAGTGACAGTGAGCCACCATCCAACTCAGGAGAGTCACCGTAGGAGCACGATGGTACTACCCGATATCTGGTGTGAGCGGTTTCAGCCATGTCGACAACAACTGCAGCGACAATAGCAACATCAAGGAACAGTTAATATTGACCAACTTACATTAGGTCTGCATCTCTTCGGTGCTATCAATACCGTGCTTCTTTGTCATCAGAACAACCAGAGAAAATCACGAACAATCCGTCCAAACCCCGGTCTCGGGGTTTTGCGAGCCTCACGCGTTCAAGGAAAGAGGCGGGTCACTTCGCCGCCGGGCATCCTTCTCACACCTGCAGAGGCTCTCAGCAAACCCTTGGATTCCAAGCCCCAAAGGCGAGCTTCAGCAAACGCAAATAGTAGGAGCCCACCCAAAAGCCACCTGGACCCTTAGCTGAACTTTAGCACAAAATTCAAGGCTTTCTTCCCTGCAGAATCCGTAAGGCAAGGGCTTGGAGAGCATGTAGTTGTAGTTCTCCTGTAAACGAGAAGCGAAGGACTCTTGGGGCTCCGCCCTGCAAGGAATTCTGGGAGTCGACACTGGGTTGAAGTTACCCTTCGTCACTAAAGAAAGCAGCCGCAACTTGCTACAGCATCTGATAAAAATAGGCCTTTTGATTTCCAGTCCTAGCCTTAAGCAACCCTCTGCTCCTCGAAATTTAGCAGCCCGAAAAGCTCGACTTTGGCGCCGTCTCGAAGGTTGATCCTGGAAGTCACTTGAGCTTGAGAGCTTCTAGCCTCTAGAGGGGCTTGCACGATTCGGGCACAGGGCTTGGGGCGACGATGGGCGACTCAAGCATAGCTGCATGTCTCTGCTCGTGTGACTGGGCCATAGTGCTCGAGTGCTACTGGCCTCACGTCGGCGCAATAGCCCAGAAACCTCAGGCCGTACTTCATCTCGTAGATTTCCTGGCGCGGAAACGACCACTCCTGCATTTATGGAGTTCAAGCTATACAGCACCCAAGAAGATGCCCCCGTGGGAAGCCTGGTAGGAGAACTCAGTGATGTCTTTCCCATCAAGACCTGAACAAACATAAACTCGCCCGAATTGATGCAAACCCAAAACCCTAAACAAAAAGACCCAAAGTGCAACCTTGAGCCTCCGACCACCTGTGACCGAAACTCGCTTGTTGGTGATCTTGTACCTGGCAAAGCAGGTTGGAACCACAAGGAGAGAGCAAACGGACCAGTCCATAAATCTAATGCTTGTATCTGCTAGACTAGACTTATGCCAGCACGAAACTCATCAAAGCCCTGAACACCAGGGAGGTGCACTTTACCCTGAACTGACGATTCACGGCAGCAATGAAGGGAATGATCCTTGGTCTCCAGTTCTCGCAAAGCACGCACGATAAGACTTGCCTGGGGCTTTGCATGCACCCTGGGTAAACTGCGTCCTGCGTCAGCATGCTCAGGAACCGACCCGATCACCACAAAGCAGGACAGGAAGGGCGCAAACATCTGAGCAAAAGACGCAGAGGTGTCGGGTGTTTTAATGAGATTGTTTCGAAACAACCCTCTTCGTCCCGCAGTCTGCATGTAGAGCCAGAGGATTCGGACATAGGGGCAGATGTTCCCTGCACTGGGTTTGCTACTGCAGCTCTCTGCTTGTTGTCAAGGTTGGGGCTTTCCAGTTTCCGGATGTCGGGCCTTGGGGTTTCGGAGCAACATCTCTCTAGCAGACTCTAACAGCTTCAGCAGCAAGGGGCAGAGTGTCACAGGGATTTTCTCACCACGAAGGGATTTGTCACTATGATGCTGCCTTGCCTCGATTTGTGATACCTTCCTCGGTCGGTCTCCTCATGCAGGTCCTCTGCTTGTGTCAAGCAAACCATCCGTCCTTCCCTTCACGTTCCTTTTGCTAGCCGTGCATTGCTAAGGTCAACCGTCTTCACCGCTCGAGGCATCTCGTGGAGCATTACGACCATCAGCATCAACATCAAAACCAAAGCCGTTGTGGTCATCATGCCATCACCACCACCGCCACCATCCCAATCGCCATCATCACCACGAGGTGCCTGCGGGGACCGATCCTAACTTTAGGGCCTAAGTCCTGCAACCCTGGACACCCAGCAAAGGAACACAAAAAAGAAAAGCGACCGAACCCCGGAACAAAACTCGGGGCGCCTCGGTGGAGGAGGGGGGACCCTCCCAGAAGGTCTCCTCCGCCTCCAGCTTCGCCTCCTCCTTCTTGCTCTTCTCCATCTCGTCGGACACGGCAGGTTTTAGGTTTAGGGCCCCAGACTAGTTTAGCCTTTAGGGTTGATGTTCTTTTCGTTCATCCTGGGAATTTCCATTCAAAGGCTTCGCGTGCTGTGATTCTCATAGCGTATTTGCAGGGCCTAAAGGTCTTCAATGTGGTATTTGTCTCTGATAAACTACGTCCAGCGCGTTTTGAAAAAGAAGTAGTCCCATTGCTTTTCATATAGGTGCCTCACGGCTTGAGGGGATCGGCAACACAAACCGCCACAAATGGACTAACGACGGTGGCCTTCTCTTCCTTCTTCTGGCGGTCAAGAGCCTAGCGAAGCTCAACAGAGTCATCGGACAAGACAGTGCAAGCCCCCATCGCGATCGTGGCATCAAGCTGCGACACACAACCTGCCCACTCTCTTGCATGCAGAATCGCAGGTCGGACAAATTCTAGGATGAACCTTCGCCAAATCATTTCGAAGCCTCTGCCAGGGACATCTTCTGCTTCTTCTTTTTGGCCTTTGCAGCCTGGGGACGGAGGAGTGCACAGCAAACCAGGACCCAGGACCTAGAAGATACTTCTCCGGCTCCTTGAGTGTTTATGCAGCATTGGCCCCAAAAGAAGGCTTCCGCTTGCCCCTGTGCAACCCCTGGAAGGACCTCCATCGCTGTCACGGCGTCGCTGGCGCGGCTGGGGGTCTTGCATGTGGCATCATTGGAGTTCACAAGGGCTTGGGATACCTAAGCTGAGATACTGCTACCAAGCCTACAGTCTAGACAACTCGTGAGACCAACTTACGACTTGCGCGCTGCTTTTGGATAAAAGGCAACCGCAAGCCAAAGCACACCGACGTATCATCATGCACAAACGAATCCCAACAGTATTAATGTGCCTACAACTCCATGTCCGATTGGACAATGCGACCCGCCTGCCAACCGCCGACGAAGCTCCATCCAGCAATTGCCGCGGCCAGTGCTAGCAACACCTCAGCAGCTTTATTGTAATAATGCAAAACCCGACCCACACTCCTGAAGCCCCAAACCCCATGCCACAATTCCTAGAATGACCCCCCCCCCCCATTTTCCTATAGATAGGGGGTCCCTATACATAATCCAAAACCCCACATGGCTGAAAAGCGATTGGGAGCCCCGCTCCGAAGCGGCCAGCTGCACGACCAGTCCGCGCCTCGCTCCGGGAGGGGGAGAGAGTTAGAGGTTGGGGTTAACTTGTTGATAAGACTTATCTCAGGTCTAGGTCGTATGGCGTTTAGGGCGTATATGTTTGCGCTCAGAATTTGGGCTTATACCTTTGGGTGTTGAGGTCTCTATCGGCTTATGTAGCGCAGTTAGGCGCCTGGGCGGTTCGGGACACAGGATTCGGATTTCGGGGCTCAGTGAGTTGCCATTGATGCCAGGTGTTGCAGCAAGTCGTGCATGTAGTTTGACTGGACTTGGCCGACACTACGAAACAATGACAATGTCGGGCTGGGGGCATCTATGATCGAGGTCTCTTCAGGAGCTGCCACTGCTTTCTCGCGATCGACCTTGAGATAGTTGCTTCGATCTTGCTACTCTTGCTGCAACACAACCTGCTGTTCTGGCGCCGGCAACCTTCCTTCTCCAAAGCAAAAGCTGCGGGCAGACTCGGGTAGACTGCATGTGCCGCGCTGCATCTCAGGGCCGGGCCATGGCTATCTCGTGTCGGCGCGATCTGCTATGTATGTTGTCGGAGAGGCTGCAAATGTCAGCGAATCCAGCACGGAACGGCATGCAGCGAGACCACTGCAAAGGCCCAAGAAGTTACACTCTGCAAGCAAAAGTGAGCAGACGCATTGCAAGGTGGACGCTGTTTCCACCGCACATCGCAGTGCTCGTCTGGCATTTTAACCAGCGCAGGGTTGCCAAGTGTGAGTTGAGCATGCTGCGACCTGGCTTACAAGGCCGGGTTCCTACTATACCTTATGAACATTTTCTTACAGAAATGTTCACAATATTATTCTTGTTACGACATAGTCTTATATCATGATGCAATATCAATGTACAATGTAGTCAAATAGTGTAATTTCATACAGGTCTGGATCCAGCACATTGCAACAATCTGATGTGGGAGCCTGCGACGAACGAATGCAGCAGAAGGCTCTTGAGAGCTTCTCAACAATCTGGCTCCCCAAGCATAGGATTCTAGCTGCGGCAAGCCAGCGCTGTTCTTTCCCTGCCTCCTCCAAAGAAGACAGACTCGGACTTCCAGCAGGAGGCGAGCGCAGAGGCCTCCAGACGGATGCACTCGCTACTCGTTGGTCTTGCTCAACCCATCCCTCCGCCCCACCCCAGTCAATGCCCAATGCTTTATGCAGCACATAGCCACTAGTAGTAGGTCACTAAGCTGCATCTACCGAGTCCCAGCACAGCTAGAGAACGATCCCCAACCAAAAATGAGTAGCTCGCGCTGGCGGCACCGATACTCTTAGACTTAATAGAGGCCTCGGTGCTGGATTGCAAATCCAGCACAAATCCATGCAAGACCGTGACATGGATAGACTCAAGTAGAAATAAGAATACTGCAAGGCAACCGGTCTCAACGTCTGCACAGGCCATTGTCTTGTAGCCCTGAGGTGCAACATAGATTGATTTGGCATGTATGGTATGCGCATGATGTTGGCGCTTTCTGAAAAGGCAGGCAATGCCAACAACTAATCACTAACTAATCCCCCTGCCTTCTGGACACTCGAAGGGCTTGGACTCGGTTCGACTGCTCATCACTGCGGCCACGGCATCCTCAGGCCAAAGGCAATCCCGAAAGTCAAACATGGATGCTTCGGGAGACGAGGCTTGGCAGCGCTCATGGGTCCAAAAAATCGTACGCTCTGCACTTTTCTTGCTTTGAGTTGCTCTGCGTCATCACGCGATATATTTGCATGCACGTGCGCAGGCACCGCGAATGAGATGTGTGGAGAGCACCTCCCTACAGGTTCTCTTTGAGCTTAATGGCGTGTGCCAAGCGGCCTCTTTGAGGATAGCTGGCACGATCATGGTAGAATTTCAGATTCAATGTGGATATTTACATTCGATTCGTTTGCCTTTTCTGTGTGAGGTTCAGGTGCCTGGCTGGAGGGCTTGGAATCGAATTTATTGCTTTTACGGTCATTTACAGTGGCGAAGGCATCAATTCGAATTTAATTCCACATGGAATCTTGTCCCGGTATGGAGGGAGACTGGATTTGAATTTAATCTCCCATGGGTTGGGTGATCTTAAATTCGGATTTGAAGCTTGCCAACGCAGGGGTTTTATTCGTCGAATTTCATCCGGGAATGCCGATTGCAGATTAGATCCAAAATGAAACCTGCAAGTTGTCCTCGCCGCAAGGCTTAATTTCGAATTAAAATGCTCAGGCTTTGGTCCTTGCAGGGTTTAAATTCGAATATCTAGAGAGACTAGTTCGACAAAAGCCTAGAGAAGTGGAAAACAAGGAGCAAACCGCCCGAAGAGGGAACTAGAGAATTTCAGAAAAAGGAGCAAACCGCTCGAAAAAGATGAGATGATTTCGAAATGGACTAGAGAGTTTGACAACCAGGAGCAAACCGCTCGAAAGGATTTAGAGGGCAGCCCTGTCTTGTGCCAGCTTCTTGCGCTCTCCATGTAGATTCGACGGAACCGAATTTAACTTTAAACTGAGGGTTCTCATAAAAGCTACCGAAAAGACTTGTGAGCGGGATACATATAGAAAATACATAAAACCGAAATTCCAAGAATCCAGGATTCGTGTATGATTTCTACTTAGATTGCCAACGAGGTCATGCAAACGTAGTAAACAAAACCAAAGCAAAAACAGCTGAGCTGTCATGAACTTCGGTTGCAGATTGCCCCTGAACCCACGTTTCCGCACATCTGAGCATCAAATTCGACGACCTCTCTGTGTCAGTGAGCTTCGCCGGATGTCCAAAGCTGTAATATGACCCGCAACCTCAAACTTCAAAACAGTGACTTCGATGCGCAGCCCATCACAGCCCTGCGCAGCAAGGCCGAACTGCCGACCCTGGCGAGCCTTGGCCAACGCCAAGAGAAGGGCACAGTGGCTGGCAGGCGCGGCCGGGTGCCTTGCACCGAAGACATGAAGGTTATTTAATGTCGGAGCAAAGAAGCCAGCTATCACTGACTGTATCCCTGCGGATGATGCTCCGTCTTCTCAGGATGAGAATGGGGAGGGGCAGCATGGCTTGAGGGCGTGGGCTTGAGGGAAATCGGCCCAGCCCTATCTGACAGTCAAGAGACCACCTTCGGATCGCCAATATATGCTGACATTATGACTACGCTATCGAGGACTGTTCTTAGTCGTCTCGCATCATCTCGGATCGTTTGCTTTCTCGTGGCAAGCACACAAAGTAGTGCTAGGAGCACGGCCACAGGTCAGGCTTCGTCGATGAGGACTGTAAATCATGAAATGGTTTGGGCCGCCTTGGTCTGGGAGGTTGCGGTGAACCACGTGAAGTGCCAGCCTCGCTCTTTGCTGTGCTGCATCTAGGTATGTCCAACATGTTTTATCGACATCGATCGGATGTGACATTTTCTGAATCGCCCAAGAGCCTCACCAGTTCAGCTCTCGCAGCGGATCCCGAATGCCTTCTGGCAGCTTTCAACCTGGCAACGACGAAAGACTGCGAATGCAACACACAAGGACCACGTAAGGACTCGGCTGACACCCCCTCAGACTCTCAACATGCACCAAGTCCAAGCCGAAGATCTTTGCTTCTCGCCAGCTCCGACAAGCCACGACAGAACGTGTACTTAGCAATACACAAACAAGCACAGCGATCTCGGCTCACGTCCACTGCCCAGCATGATTAAAGAGCAGCCCTAAACCCCAAAAGCCCCAAACCCCATATTAAAGGCTCCAACCGGTCGGGGGCGCCTCTCCTCTGACGGGTCCTCGCTGGACTCGCCGCCCTGCTCGTCTCCGGAGGCCTCCATGAACTGCGAACGAACCAGCACAGAGCCGCCACAGGGGGCCACGTTCTTACACTCTACCCATAGGCTCCAAAGTAGTTCCTTTCTTGGGGTTACCTTATAGGATCCTAGGTGTAAACCACAAAAAGGAGCTGCTTTGGAGCCTGTGGGTACTCTTATTATGGCAGGTCCGCAGATCCGGATCGATGAAAAGATGTCGCCGCGGGTGCTGGGGCCACCACGGACCACGAAGTGAAAGAACCAGCAACAGCCTCGTCGTGTTGCAGGCTGACGGGCTGTGTCGGCACCGAGCCGGCACCGTTTCTTGCCAAGACTGCACAAAGAGCCAAGGAGCTGAGGCCAAGGTGTTGCACCCTGCAGCCGAGAGGTCACAAACGCGGGCAGGTGAGTGCTTCGTGGGGCACTTCAGCTGAAGAGATCGCCTCACAAACCCCGGCAGAAGTTTGGCCAGGACTGTTCTCTCACCCTTCTGCTGAGCCAAAGGCCGAAATCATGGAGGTAGCTCGGCAGCTGGAGCCCTGCAAGACACAAAGGTTCCAAGGACCCAAGGACCCAAAAAAAAAGCTTCTTTGAAAATCTCGCGGGCCGCCTCTTGGCTCATCAGGATACCAGTAGTCCTCTTTTTTTTAGGGGTTCCCTTATTTTTAGGTCACCGAAATAGTAGTACGGCATAACAAAGGAAGGCAAAAGGGCACCCTAATTTAGAGAACTACCCACATGACTCGCTTCGAATGAGGCTTTTGGAAGGCTTTTCTAGCTGTCCTTTCCCACGCGGCCAGCGCGCGGCAGGTGATCTCCTCGGAAGCCACGCTCCCGGAAGAAGCTCTCTACGGCGCTGGCGTGGTCGCTCCCAGCGTACCTGAAAGACGAGCTTCGAGGCAAACCACACCCAGCGCTCCCAGTAGTTTCCAATGTAGCTAACTTACCTCAACGATTCAACGACACTGCATTTGTGTCACAGAAGTTGTTCAACAGTCATGCAGGAGTTTGGCACCTTGTCGCAAGCACGTTACAGGACAGGTTCAACGCCTGAAGCCTTTCGAACAGCGCTGTGGTGTGAAAGTGCTAGCTCGGGCATAGGATGAAAGAGGTTCCGACCCTGCCCTCATCTTGCAGTACCAGAAGCCACCCACAGTGGAGGCCGCCTAGCCAAGGCACAAGATCACGACCACCTCGGTCCCAATGCGGGCCTGGAGCACACCTGAGACGTGGCAGCCCTTAGGATTGATGAATGTCCCAACCCTAAACACCCTAGACTCTCCTAGACCCTAACCTTTGAGCCCTAAAGAGGGACCAAAAGGATCAAGGACACGAGATTGATGTGTAGGCACTGTGGCGGGCGGCCTACAGTGGGGCCCTGGCGATCTGAGACCAAAAGGATCGCCGCCAAATCGACCATGCGAAGCTGGAAGACATCCTCGGTTCAGGCCTACGTGTGTGTTGTATAGACTGTGTAGGGAAGTTTGGCGATTCCACTACGCTCAATCATGTCATGACTCTTGCTGCGCCGTTCTCATTGCTATCCTGCCCAAGTTATGGCTGCCCTGTTTAGCATCCGCCTACGGGAAATCAAGTGATTTTTTTGAGTGTCGGGGTTTAGTCGGTCCTCCTGATGCAAGGATGAAGCTGGAATCGGTTCATGCTTGCTCTCGTGACCTCTCGCTTGCTCGGAGAGTGGCGATGATGATCTTGGCCAGGACCCTCTGCCTGGCACAAAAGTCTATGGTCGACGGATATCAGGGTTGACATAGGGATGGAGCGGCTGGGGCTTGAAGGGTTTCGAGTTTACGCTAGTATTTTAAGAGCCCGTCCTACCTCTTCGTGGTTGGCTTTCCAGCATCGGGATCGAAGCTGACGATCTCTGCCATCGCATCTTCGAAGCCCGGGATGTGGATCCTTACATGGCCGAACTGCGGAATGTCGACTTGGAGTCAAGCATGCTCAGAAGTAGCTATGAACCTGAAAGGATCTATCCATCGAAAAGCTGCAGTGTCGCTGCCATACTGTCACTTCGGAAAGAGAAAGCACACTGTTGCCTCCAATTCTATCCAGGACTCCCTCGGAGGTTATGGTACCTGGGGCGCAGCACGTTGCCGTGGTGTGCAAGACTTCTAAAGCCAACAGGAGCCATGTAAAATGCAAGCACAGAAGTCGGACCACATGAGATATAGCAAACCGGAGCAAACAAGAAGTCACAAGAAGCCATGACCTGGGACTCCGAACGCGTGAGACAAAGCAAGCCGGAAAGCGAAGCAGACCAGAACCTGGACAAACAGGAGTCCCGCTGCAGAGACAACGCGAACCGGAAGCAACGCCAACCCAGGACGCAGGACTCCGATCGCAGCACACAAAGCAAAGCGTCCGCCGCAACCAACCACGAATCCCAAGGCCTAAACCCCCAACACAAGCCCTGTCTACCCAGGATCTCCAGCCGACCGGTTTAGGACAAAACCCGCTGCTGCTGAGGAGCTTCGTCGGATTTGAGAGGCTCGGAACCCGATCCCGGGACCGGAGCAAGGCCGGATCCGAGGTGTCGATGTCGTCCTTCAGGTGTAGGGATTCATGCAATAGTTTGGAATTATTTCTGTAATGCAATATAGAAACTTACGTAGTGTTATGATGCATTATCATCAGAGTTAGTACAATCCAGTGTATTATCTTCGGGGGTTTTGGGCTTGAGGAACTTGGGGATGTAACATGCCACAGAGTCTTGTACCATTTCCACTGCTTAGAGGGTACGGCCATGGCCGGTTATGTTGCCATCCATGGCTTCCCCATCATCTACCCGGAAAATCGGTCAGGCAAGGGTTGAGAACCTTTCCAGGAGGGTAACGCCAAATCCAATGTGCACATGGATGTAAGCTGCGGGCATGGATCTCGCGATGACATTCCCGGAGCCACCTCACTTCGACCAGGGAAATCGAATGCTCGTGCCACGGCAGTTTCACCTTCCAACGTGAACAGTGAACCCGAGTCAGCGGCGCCACGAAATAGTCGCCCTCGACATCTTGCGCTTTCGGGTTGCTCCTTGGATGTCTACATTGGATCAACCATCCAACTTGACCAGCTTGGAAACAGCAGCCTGCGGCAGCCAAAAGGTACTGTCACACGATGACACAGTTGCATCCACTTGGGGGAGTAAGAGATCTTAAGGTAAGCCCGCAATAGCAGGACCCTTCTTATGCGGACACGCAAACACGACACCCCTGATCACAAGAGCCCACCGCCTCCTCCACACAAAACCCTAAGCCTCAACCCTAGGCCCTAGTGGCTTCCGTCGAGCTGCAGGAAGGCTTCCACCGATCTCAGGTACCAGGATTGAGCTGCCAGGGATTTGGACAAAAAACACCAGCAGCAGTAGCAGCCGCAGCAGCAGCATTA